AGGCATTTTGCCTCCTTTAACATGGATACATCGTTGTACGTGTTGGACTTTACGTTTTGAACATATTTTGAAATTAGTTTAAAAAAAACAAAAATCGAATTCCGTAGTGAAAAAATTATAGTATTCTGATCGAATTTGATGTCTGGTATTGTGAGTTCTATTCAAAGTTTCCATGGGTGCCCAGCGTATACAGTACCGTATACTGACCTGTTTAAGTACGAAATACGATCATGACCTGTGGATCTATTTATGACTTGGATTTGTATGAAAGCGATTATCCTCCCACTCCTCAAACAGACCCAAAATCGGCAAATTTGGACGGAATTCACAATATCATTATTTCAAGAACCAGACCTCGAGTCAGCAACTCTGGATTGAAATCCACAGTTGCCTTAAAACCCAGAAAATTTAAGTTTTGTCGCGATCCCAAATCTACAATGTTGTATACCATCCCATCCAGAAACTTGCTCCGTGCCGTATGGTACTTATAAAGTAATATGATTTGTTGCAACGTATCTAAATAATATCTTCTCTCTCTCTTCCTACAAAAATAAGTTATGACCACAAACGTGGGGGAACTTAAAGTTTTGTCTCAGTGTGCTCTAGCCTCATGTACTACATAAATGTAGTACCTAGAGTGCGTGATTCTAAATTACAGTATATGCCATACTTACAGTAGGATGAAGGGGAAATGTATTAACATCAAAAGCTGGATGTTGCATTATAGTGAGGTAGTACAATTTCTTAATGCCGCTGTTAATCTCCTGCTTCGACCAGTTTCGAGGCCATCATCCATTGAGACCAGCGACAAGCGAACTGAGCCCAGTATATAAAAAGATTTCGAGCATGCAGTTCGTCTTCACAGCTAGCCCACGTGTCACAGTGGACATCGATTGTGGCGTCGTCAACCTCTGTGAACTTGATACGCGCACCTCCTTCGTTGACCCACTTGACGTCTGGATGTGGTTCTTCAGCAGCTCGGTTGCGTACATTCTCCTTCGAGTCAGCCAGCACGAGAGAGCTTGTGAATGAACGTTTACCATTGCCTTCAACCTGCAGCTGCCGTCTGGCAAACTGGAAGTAGCGGGTGTTGACTGGACCAGGAATGTTGCACACCAGCACATGAGCGTCCACTGCAAACGACTGCAGCACTTGAATACTGACACCAGATCGCTGGCTGTAACTCCAGTTCGGTGGCGTGAACGCAAGCGGCCACAGGTGCAATTTGGACGAGGAAACAGCAGCATCGGCATCATCGAACGAGCAACAAATTCGAGCAGACAGCTGAACGCGGCCAACTAGAGAGTTGTCTAGTCTCCTCATCAGTGGAGCGTGATACACCGTCCAGCCGAACAAATGCCCAGCAACCGATGACTTGGAGTAAAACTGATTATCACAGTTTTGCATGACATTGTTGAATTCGGCTTCGGAGAACGGGTGGAAGTGGAAAGTCGGTTCTCCATTCGGAAACTTGACACGCCAGCCATCGTCGTCGTGAGGTGTAGGGCCCCAAAGCGACGATTTACTTGCTGGATAAACGTTTGCAAAGCTGGTGTCGCTGTCTTTTGTCGCGTCCGCGAATACCCGAATAGTTTGAGCTTGAACTAGAGACTGAAAGCGCTCTTGTCGATGTATCTCTTTCATCAGTTCCACGTTCTCCGTACGTAGAGAATCCCACTCGAGAGCAAGGCAATGTACTGCATAACACAGTTCACTAGAAGAGCTATCCTCACAGTTCATAGTCGCCAGGCATTTCTTCACTTCGGCTTCGAGTTGTTGCTGTTCATCTCGCAGCTGTAGAAGCTTGTTTTTCTTCAAACCACGCAGACGCGACATATACTCGCAGCGCTGCTTTCGTGTCATCGCCGCCTTGATCTGCTTAGACCATTCTTTTGTGGTCGAGTCGGCCCAGTGATGAAGCTGCACCCAAGTCTTTTCATCCCGAGAATGAGGAGCGTCGGCGCTGACGACTGAGTCCATAACCGATTTTCGTTAGGTTATTCACGTCGATCGTGATTGAGAGTGAGAAACTTGTTAGCAAGGCCTTGAAGGGTATAGTCACCGGTACCATGTGCCGACGTGTACAGCATCTGTTGCCCACAATCATGAAGTTTTAATAACGCCACGATTGATTACAGGAGCTGCTCCGTGAGTAATGACAACTGGGCATTCCCAATTGCTTGTAGCATTATTAATAGCACTTATCCAGATACTTATAGTAAAATGCCAAACAAATCTTATCCGCTCTTTT